AAGCAGCAACCGCAGATCGCACTATACATCTCACCTTTCGTTTCACATTCGCATGTGACTCTTTTTGAATTCTTACCCAATACACATCGCTGATTGTGCAACGATGAAATGGTAAAATACTACATTATGTTTGTTGTCTTCAAATTCCAACTTGGTTATAATTACTGTATATTCAAGATATAAACGTGAACTAACTGTGTACGTTATACGCAGTATTACATTGCAATGGTCGGTCAACTGGTGTAGGAGTCAGTTAAATATGAGTAGATTCAGGCTTGCGGTTTGTTAACATACAAGCACGCGGTCCTAACTTCGACCATTAATTTGAATTTTTGACCTACCAGTTGCTTGAAAATCAAGGATTGCGAGTCTCATACTGCACAGTTTTTCTTCAAACTTATACCATTAAAAGCAAAACAAAATTGCCTTTTTGTCGGTGCATTATTTTATTGTAAAGAGTCCCTCGTTCTAGCAGCGTTTTGGTCCCCAGCTGTTAGAAGGCCTTCTTACAGCTGGGGACCAAAATGCCGCTGGAAGTAGGGACTCTGTTTAGGAGAATAATGTACTAGCAGAAAGGGATTTTTGTTATGCAAAAAATCTAAAAGTACATGAAATAAAAGACATACATGTAGTTTAAAAAGACCTACCAGAGAGAGAGAGAGAGAGAGAGAGAGAGAGAGATAGAGAGATAGAGAGATAGAGAGATAGAGAGATAGAGAGATAGAGAGATAGAGAGAGAGAGAGAGAGAGAGAGAGAGAGAATATAAACATGCAAATCAATTCCATGTAGTAGAATCAAATCATAGAAAGATACACAGGTTGTGATTCAAAACGGGAATCCTTTTGACAGATCCTATCGACAGAGGTTTTTAGGCAAATAGTCCAAAGGGAGATTTCGCGAGACAGATGGAAAAATCAATGTTAACTAAAATGGCTTATTTGAAAAAGAAAAATGCTGAAAATAAAACAGATATAATTTTTTGCCGATTTTTTGTAACATAATTATTTCATACAACTACGGTACTCTTTACAGTGAAATTATTTGTAAAGCTAGAAAATGGGCCAAAAGTGAACTTCGTTAGACAAAAATGGCGACCATTTTGAAAATAGGCAAGCTTTTGAAACAGGAGTCATAGGGGAGTTCTTTGTATTGATTTTGAACTAAAATAAATTAAAACGGGAATCCTATCGACAGAGGTTTTAAGCCAAAAGGTCCAAAAATGGATTTCGAGACAGATTGACAAATCAATGTTTACCAAAATGGCTGAAAATGAAATAAAACGGATTTTTTGCTGATTTTTTGTAACAAAATTATTTCATGCAACTACTCTTTACATAGACATGGATTTTTACAATGCAGGACACCAGAAATTATCTGTAAAGCTAGGAAATGGGCCAAAA